AGTCATCACTAGGTTTGACAGGCACACGAGGCTAGCGGGAATTTCTCCCTTAGATGTATATATAAGTCCAATGTTCCCATAGTTGTAAAATATTAAGTCTTCTTTACTTCATCATATTTATCCATATAATATCGTACAGAGTATATTTTCCAACAAATATCACATCATATTTTCCCTGAAATGCAGCTTGTAGAAGAATTAAGTGAGAAGATCCACCACGCCCAACGTTTGATTGGAGGAAACGGACGCGAGGCGGGGGGGGTGCTCCTGAAATAGACTCTATCGGTCATGGGAAGTACTGTTGGGGAGATTATTGGAGACTTGCTGGTCTAGGTCTACTTCCACGGACCCATCCAGAGCAGAAGTAAGAGAAGTGAACCTGTTCTGGCTAGCAGAAGGCATGCGTTGAGGAGGAGCGGAGGGGGCTTCCGTCGAGATATTCGGTGCACCGAGTCTGCCAGGAGAGTTGGAGTTGGCAGCAGCGGCAGCCTCTGCGCGACGCTCTTTCCGGAGATTATTACGGTTACGTCAATGGAGTTCCGTAATTGCTTTCTCTAAAGGATGAATAAGCTTGCCCTTGAAAGGGCGAGGGCAGAGAGGACAGTTAGAGTCATCTGCAGAATATGGCCCCAGGCAGTTAATGCACCGACACATGTGGCGGCATTGTCCTTGGTGACGAATGGCAACGCAACGAGCGCACAACGAGAGGATTGATGAGACCCAAAGCAAGCATCGCACTGGATGACCTTCGGGTTAGGGATATAGCGTCGTGAAGGGACGCTGTCAACGATTCGAAAAGTGGACACCTCTTTTGGGAAGAAGATAACCGCCGTGTGTAGAGAATCATGGCGATCTTCATGTAAAGACCATTGGGCGCCAGACGGAGCGACGCCTGTCTGTGCCTGTGCGATACTCTTAACGTCATCAAGCGTGGTAGTAACCAGATTGGAGAACGGATTCCAGATAGTGCGTGGGATACGCTTAACAACGTACCCAATGCGGTCCTCAAGTTGAATTAGAGTACCTGAAAGAGACGCCTTTATGGAATCGGCATTTTCCATCGCAATTTTTAGCGATGCATCAGACGAGAAAGCGACGCAGAAACCATTTGAGCAGCGAGAAACGGAGGCAATTCCATCCTTTAGTACGGGAACAATTTGTGTTGGTACAACGGGGTTCACTTGGTTTAATGCCTTAAAAGTGCTAAAAACAAGTGATATATTCTGTCTATCTCTTTTCTGTATCCCTCCTCAAGCATTAATATCTAAAGTACAAAATGAAGCTTAGCGCCCTGATTATATCACGTGATGCGCTGACCAATACTTTTGGAAGTAAATGTTTCATACAAGCCCTTTATCTATACGCCATTCACCTGTGAACCGACAATTTGAATGAAAGCAGATTTGACTGTGGTTGCGTCTGCTCTGAGGAGTGGAGCTTCCTCAGAGAGGCGGAAGATAGCTTTTGAGCCCTTGGTGATTGCAGCTTTTTTCGGAACGGGCGTACAAGAAGGGCGGGACGTTGTGTTGGATCGAGACGAAGACGACGCCGGAGGGATAGTGGCGGGAGGGCCTGCGGCGGTCGATGCCCAACTCTGTGGTTGCTTTGCTGTGGGGATAGGAGGTCGTGCTGGTATGCATTGGCTAGGCTTGGGTAAGGAGCCCGCTGGCTTGTGCTGTGTTTTGCTGTTGTATTGCATATGGTGCCCGGAAGCAACCGCAAGGAGAAACGCGTCCATTTGCTCGCGCACGAAGGACTGGATTAGAGGATCAGCCTCTTCAACGGCTGACCAAAACTTGTTATGAAAGGTTTGAACCCAAGTAGCTCGACCCTTCGCAACGCGCTGGACAAGCTCGAGATCTTCAGCGACGCGCTGGGCCAGAGGAGATGGTTGTTGTGATTTGGCCATCACGGGCGCGATGACCAAACTAAAATGCACTTATTAGGGATCGAATTAGAGGAATCGAGTTGTAGGGAATAGCTGAAAAGGAGTAGGAATACGTTCCGTATCTTGTTGTTTGCGTAATGATAGTTGTGAGTATGGAGGTAGATGTATTTCATGGTAGTTAACCTGATCCAGCCCGGCCCCACCCGTGCTTAAGCTCCAGTAGGAGTGCAACAGTAGTCACTTTACCTAGCACGTTAATGAATAAATCAAACCAAACCATTACTGTTAAGCAAAGTTATACTAATATGAATCTCTCTCAGAGTTGATTGAATTGATTGTCGTCTACAATGAGGAATCTATCTAGGAACTTTATACATCTTGAATATCCTACTAATTCCAAATATAGACTGACTATTAGATTGCCCATGCGAACTGCTCAAATCTCCGTTCCATACATGGTTCTAAAATTGGCTGTTACAGTATCATGGACGATAGAAGGAGTGAAACAACAAGGGAGTTGTTCGTAGGAAATTGGCCATCCGTCTAGTCGCTAGTTGTAACATTTGCATGACTAAGTTATTGCCCTTGATGTATCAGCCCAGGTTACTTGCTTGTAAACTACTCAACTTAAACATCATGATACAACATTTGTATTTAGGGTAATCTGTTTGACAATCACGATAAAAGCCCCCACTACTAAATTTTATTTTCATCTATAGTCCTTCGTTATCTATAGGAAGTGAAATTGGCCTTGAGTCTGAGTCAGGAATAGCCAAAATTATATTGAGCCTCGCCATCTTTTCCATGCCCTCGCGTGCTGAAAAGAGACGACTATGGTCTTGAACTTGACCCCGATGGTCCAAATACTTGTGGTGGGGGATTGAACAGGAGCTGTTTGCGCGGGCGTCCTAGCCCTCCCTTTAATACCTCCGGCTTTTGGCGGGACACCAGTGTGAACCATTGGTCGTCTGTAGGTCTTGCCGTAGTAGATGTTGTAGATGCCGTTATTACTGTATCTCCTTTCCTGAATTCCACCGTTCTCTCCATGAATTCATACCGTGCCCGTTGCACGCTGGCCTTGTATGCCGCGAAGCTTGGACACGCCCCCTTATGCCACGATAAGTGAGCCTTGCCGCAGTTGCAGCAAAGCACCAACTTCCTCGGGCAGTCCCTGGTCATGTGAGTGCGCGGGCATTCACTACATCTCCTTACCCTATTGCAAGAGGCTTGGGTATACCCCCATTGACTGCAGTTAAAGCACTGCTTGACTTGTGCACGGGGTGACTAGATCTGGGCCGTGTATAGCATTGAGTTGTTAACAATGGTATTTCTTATCACTTCGCGCTGAAGTGACTCTGTCGGCAAATTCGCGACGATTGTCCCTCATTATGGCCGTTTCTTCTCATCTATCTGTGCTTCTTTCCGTCAAAGAGCCATCTCACATTGTTGATCTTTAGGTCGGGAATCTGAGATTTTGTTTCCGCCACAACTTGATTTATGAAGATGCCATTATCTGGATTTTTTCCTCCTCGCATAAATTTCTCCAAAGGGACACCCAAAATTTCAAGAAGGTAATCCTGATTTGGGACGCAGAACTCCTTTGGTTGTGACATACTCAAGGCAGCGTCTCGCTAGGAGACCGACTGTACAAAAATCTCCATATCATTGCTCCGCAGTTTCCTTACTGAGTATGCCCCCTAACTGTGTATTTTAGCCTTGTCTAGAAGCTCTCCCGGCCCCATATTGTCTGTTATTTGTATTCTTATCCGTACTGCCGCTTTAGTTGTTGGCGGTGCGACTATAGAGGCTTATTTGGGTCGCCCTCCCATTCCTTGTACTGCCGAAGCAGCCATCTTGCGCGACGGCTCCTCGAGGTTCTTCGTGACTGCCTTCTCAAAGGCCAGTATCCGTTCTCCCATTCGTGAAGCCTTCAGCTAAGATGGTAACATCGTAGCATGGGTTTTGAAGGCATCGAGTGCCTAACCTATTTCGACCATCGGTGTCGCAGATTTTTCAGTGTGTGCTACCACCAGTCTGCTCCTGTCCCTATTTCGATAAAGCCCCACTATCTTTAATGTATCCATGATGGCGCCTGTAGAGTTCGCGAGATACTCAACAGCCGTAATTGTGGCGGTGCCGCTATCCGTTGGTTGTGGTTGTGGCGCCGCGGAAAATATTTTCCCGAGGAAACCCACAACTGTGGCATTTCAACTAATTATGCCGAAGCGCAACCTAAAAAGATTGGGGAATCAGAAAAGAAAGACTGATTAAGATGGCAAAAATTATGAAAAAGATGAAATAACGTTCATGGAAAGTAGGAATGCTTTTGAACAAATGATGATTTTTTCCAAAATGATATTGAATTATTAACAACACGTACTGTTAATTATTAGCCCGCTCTAACTGTTTAAGCATCATAGCCAGAAATATCTACAGCCTGAAGCTAATGCTCCTAACCGATATTTATTATCTGAGTTGAGTATTTCAACACGTTATCAGCACCATCCGTGTCGCCAAGTAAATACAAGAATAGGTGAAAAAGATGTCAAGTCAGTTAATGATAACTACAAGATAGAGTAAAGAATTTATTGACTCCAATAACGTTCATACCGATGATCTCGACGAAGAACTGTTCGAGAGGATAAGAGCTGCAGCGGATAAAGAAGCTGAAGAAAATATTCCGTCAAGAGTTTCAAAGTGCAAGAGCAAATCTAGAAGACCTACAGTCTCAAGGTTTCTATCAGAGTAGGCCTCTTATAGAGAGGCGTTTCAAAGAGCCTTATGAAGCTTTGAGTTTACAAATTATGCAGAAATTCCAAAAAGAGACTTATCTACAGAGAGATCCAAATTCAACACGATTTCTCCAATGCTAAATGGACGGGACTTTTTATTGAACCAATCTACAACACTAAAAAAGTATACAAACACAAGTAAGCCAGGTGAGACCAAAAAGGGTTATAATCTCTCTATAATCCCTCGCGAAGTAACGTCGCTTTTTAATTTTTTTATGAGCCAAATGAATAAAATTGGATTACGGGGAAAGGATATATGCGATATAACCTTGAGATATGCAACCTTTGGGAAATAGTTATTGGGCAAGAAAAAAAAGCCGATGGAAACATACACCACTGAAGAAGGTGATTGGATGACTCGCGAAAGAATTGCAAGAGTAATTATCAAAAATTCTTTGGGCCCTACAGATTACCAACAAATTCTTTTTGCAAAGATAGTGGAAATGATATGGAAAGTTTTAATAAGCCTCCATCGGTCAACAGGCGCACAGGCAAAAGTCGACATGATCTGGAACTTTTGGAGCAAAAGATGTAGCGAAAGCGCCTCTGTACGTGAGCATATTGGCGACATTCGCTCTCTACACATGGAATTGGCAGAAACAGGAATTATATTTGGAGATTACTTATTGGCTAGATCAATGAGCAAGTCTCTTCCTCCTTACGACGGCTTCGTATCCTCAATCTTCGCTGGCATTAGAGATTTGAAAAAAGCAGACCCTAACTATATGGCAAATAAAATTTTTGAAGAGGAGATGTGTCGGAATAGTAAATATGAATAGTTGAATATCGTGTCTCAGAAATATTGCTACAATTGTAAGAAGCCAGGCCACTTTAAAGAAAATTGTCATAACAAAGGAAGTGGAAAGGAAAGCCAAGCACCTTGGCAAATAGCTAAAAGGAAAAGGAATAAAATGATGTAAAAATAAAAAGACAAAATCAAAATATCCAAGTAACGGAGTAAGATGTTTTTTTTGGTAATATGGCCGAAGAAGAAAAAGCTCCAAATAAATATAAAGATTCTACCTTTTACTATTGGTCCTGCAACTCATGCTTTGTAAACTCTGGTACTAGTGCTCATATTGCTAATCAACGAGATATATTTACCATATTTACACCTTGTAAAAAAATAGTTAATGTCGCGGGTGGGAAAAACAACATCACTTGGTCAAAAGCGGCACCACGTTCCACGAACGGCATTTCATCGTTTTAATAATTGCTACCATCTTAATCGGCCCATCTTATCTGATTCCCCGAATTTTTAACGTTGCGCTTCGGCACAGCGAGTTGGGGGACTGGAAAGGTGGATTTCACGGCACCACCAAAACCATCAACAGACAGCGGAACAGCCGCACCTTGGCTTGTAGAATCTCTCGCAAATACTACTGGCATGAAACAGGATAAACTAAAAACAATAGCTTATTATCTAAACAAGGTTAGAGACAAACTGGCGATTGCAGGAACTGACAGATCTGGACACCAATGGTCGAGATAGATGAGAAAAGATGCTAGCCTTAGAAAAGGCAGGTAAGAAGAATCTCGAGGAGCTAGTGCGCAAGACGACTCCTCAGTCAGCACAAACAATGGGAGGACGACCCACGTACGCCTCGATCGTCGCGCTGCCAGCGTTATAAGCGGCAGTATGGATTCGAGTAGAAGGAGCAAACAAGATGCAGCCGACAGAGCTGTTTAACAAGGCAAAGCTACACATAAATGGGACATATGCCGTGAGGAAACTAAGGAGTAATAATACTGAGGTGTTCGTGCAGTCGGACTCCCAGCGAGACGCTGCCTTGAGGATGGCGCAGCCCAAGGAGTTCTGCGTCCTGAAGCAGGATTACCCTGTTGAAATCTTGAGAGTCCCATTAGGGACAATAATTCACGGCGGAAAGAACGCCTACAACAGCGTGGCAATATTCAAAATGACGACAGAGACAAAAGCACGGATTCCAGGCATACAAATTGACAGGGTGAAGTGGCTCTTCGACGGGAAGGAACACACCTGGATGAAGGAAAATAGCCATACTCGCGGGTCAGTTATTGCGAGCTTACCGACCGAGGCTCTACAACGTGAAGTGATTCGAAATGGCATTGTAATGGACTCAATGCTCTACACGGCCCAGCTCTGGTCACCCCGAGCACAAGTCAAGCAGTGCTTCAACTGCAGCCAATGGGGGCATACCCAAGCTTCCTGCAACAAGGCAAGGACATGTGGAGGGTGCGCGGGCACCCATCAGAGCAGGGACTGCCCGAGGAAGTTGGTGCTTTGCTGCAACTGCGGCAAGGCTCACTTATCGTGGCAGAAGGGGGTGTGTTGTAACGGCACGGCATTCTGCCATGTCATTACATATATCAGGTGACCAAGAAGGTATGATGATGATGATGATATTTTTATCGTGACCGGGTACTGACCCAGCACCCAGGAGGCATGGCACGGGTAGTCCAGATCTATATAAGACTCTTCGCTACCTACATGATTGGTTCATAGGAGCCAGAAATACAGAAACAAACCAAATAAAAAGAAAAAACACCATTTCTGAGGTGCTAGCGCCCTGCACTACACCTCCATCCTCGTGCCACACTGAGCGGCCCTAAGAAGCAATACAGCTGACATTCAAGTTCCCTGTTTATGATTCAATTTTGCTGTAACATTTTGTTACAGTTAGAAAGCGCCAGAATATCTGCCATCCTTCTTGCCCTATCATATCCCTTGTCGTAGGTCGTGGTTCCTTCGTTTCCGTCCTCCATTTCTGGATGGTCGGGCGACACTCTGCAAAATGCCATGGCCGTTTCTCTCGTCCGCATTTGCATCGCATTTCTTCATTCGGATGTTGAAATCGTCTGTGATAGCTAGCGAAATCACCATGCCCAGTCCTTGCCGCAATGAGGCGGTGATATGCCCATCGAGGTAAAGCTAGCTCCGGAGGGCGTTTTCTTCGCATCAGTAAGTCCAGATCTTCATACCTGTCCGATCTATTTTTATGCCACCAATCTTCCGCGAGTTTCTGTACTCGTATTGTGACTTGACCAAGAAGGTATGCTGGGTGAGGAACCAATTTGTGGGAGGAGATAAGATAAGGTCACGCAACCTTGGGAAGCGAGAGCACACACACAAAAGCTCGCAGATTCTATTATCATTAGACTTTATTTCTTTCTTTCTTCTTTGTCTTAGTATTCGCTCAATAGATTGAATATATAGTTATACAAGCTGTACTCTCACTTGTGCTTATTCTACGCCGTGACACGTGTCCAAGCTTCGCGGCATACAAGGCCAGCGTCCGGCGGGCACGATATGGACTCATTGAGAGAACGGCCGAACTAAGAAGGGAGAGCGAAATACAAACGGAGTTACCTCAATCAAGAACTTTAAACGTACTAGACGTCCATGGGTTTACGCTAGTGTCCAACCAAAAGCCAGAAGGCGTCAAGAAAGGGCCAGGACGCCCGCGCAAACAAGTACTGGTCCCAGCCCCAACACAGCATCTATTTGCGCCATCGGGGTCGAACTTAAGACCACAGTCATCACTTTTCGGCACGCGAGGGTAGGATAAGGTTGGCGAGGTATGCTTTAGCTAGTTCTGTTTCGGACTAATGGCCATTTGTACTTACTGTAGGCAACGAAGTACTACAGGTATAAAATTTTAAAGGGTGAGGGAGTTTTTATTGTCATGGTTTTCCCCTCATGTAAATATATAGATACAGTCAGACCCCTGTTAAGACGATATTTTTTCCGGGACGAACGAAGTTCCCATACATTTACCGATTACACGATTATCGTTCTTCAACCTCCGAATATCGTCTTAACGAGGGTTTTTTTGCTAGCTTGGTGCTATCAATGCTGCCAAAAAAGGGAGTCTCTGTGGAGCAACGACGTGCTCTGCGACGATGGGCGCACCGCCAGGTCCCAAAACCAACACAAAAACAGTGCATTGAGTGGTTCTTAGCTGGGTACGGCCATCGATTAAGCCAGTCCACAGTCTCCGAGTCCTTGAGCAAGACCTTTGCGAAACTCAACAAAGCTCCAAGTACTACTGCGCTACGACAGCGAGCTGGAAACTGGCCTGACCTTGAGAGTATTAGAGCGATTAAAGACGGAAATTGGAAGTATAAAAGAGGCATCAAAAGTACAAAGTAGGCTAGATAGCTGGATTAGATAATGATATCCTTTTAAAGCGATATCCTCTATATGACGATATTTTTCACGGCCCCGACTACGTCATTTCGACAGGGGTCTGACTGTAGGTTCATAGCCGCCTGCATGGGCCCACAGGGCGCCAAATCGGGTTAAGTGAATTAAAATTCAAAATGTCGCAGGTGGACTAACCTCTACATTTGAAGGGAGGGCGAAGGCTGAACACCTATCAGTGGTGCCCTCTACGAACCTGGGAGCGAAATATTCTCCCAGAGCTGAGATTCAGTCACGACAAAGGGTGGGATGAGTTTTTTTGATGGATTTTAGACTTGAAGGAGCTGCACTCGATATTTTGGTCGAAAAATCAGTCGGTAGAGATTTCACAGCCGGAACAAAGTTGAACAAAAAGTCATCACCACCAACATACGATTCACTAATTGGCCTAGGTCTATCTGGAGGTCGTATTCAAACATCCGACATCTCTCAAACTCCCTTTATATTTGCGACGAAGCATTCCTCAATCGATCCTACACCTGCGACCAACCTCCATACTCGTCACATCACCTACCTACACACGCCCTAATGAGGAAAGTCATGATAGAAACGGGACGTGTACAAAGGAGGAAGAAAAGGGAAGATATACCGAGGGGATTACACAAATCCCCAATGACGAAAACAACCCAACGGTACGATATGAAGGTGCAAGGCTAGAGCAACGATGAGACCTTTGACGGCATTTATATTTCGGAGTCGATGAGGATGTCAAGGTCTCGGGCGCGTGGTGGCCGAGGCTGAGGAGGAAATTGCGCTACGGCGTGTATACAGCGGGTTTCTGGACGGTTAGGCTTGGTATGATTCAACACATAGGTGAAGTCTGAGGTGGTCCGGTCATTAAAGTGGGACGAGGTTTATCTGTACTTCACGGTAGTTAACCTGATCCGGCCCAACCCCACTCGTGCTTAAGCTCCAATAGGAGTGCAACGGTAGTCATGTAACCTTGCACGTTAATGAACAAAACAAAACAAAAAAAAAACAACTTTGAATCTAGCTATATACCTCTACTGTTAAACTAACCCTGGCTCCAATTAAAACCCCCCCTCTCACAAACATTTCTCCTACACACACTATTCTAAAGCCTAAGCAGAATACATCAAGCATTGCTAAACCGCGCATAAAAGAAAACCGCGTCATACAATCGGCGCGTCTGCCAATGTTGGAGCTACAGGCTCAACGCCCTCCTACGCACTCCTCCAATCATCCCAATCATGACTTCGACGATCCTGGCCCAAGCCAAACTCCTTACGAGCATGGCATCACTCTAGAAAATGACGAGCTCCTAGACGAACTCATAGATGAACCGTTTGACGCGCCCAACCCATCTGGCTCCTTTAGAGAGGCACTGGGAAGAAGTGTTGCTGCTGCAGAAAGCCGAGCGAAGGAAGCTGAATCATTATTTGGCAGTATTGCCTCGCAATTGGACAATCATTGGGCCGCACCAAGTCACAACTCACTCCCTGCTAATCAACGTTTGGCCCTCAAAAGCTTCTGCAAAGATCTAGCTGAGGCTGCTACCCGTCACTTTGACGCCTACATAAGCGGAAAACAGGTATCAAAAATTGAACCAACTCCTGAGCCTTGCCGAACTCCGCA